ACCCCACAAGTCCCTGCCCCAGATCCCAACCCCCCCCTTCTTCCCCTGGGCCTCCCAGACCCCCACTCCCTCCTGCACCCCCGTCCTCTATTGCAAGCTCCCTTCTACACCCCACCTATTGTCCCAGACCCCACACCCACTCCACAGAAGTGCAGCCCTTGACCACTTACCAAAATTTTGGAGTGGCCCCCCCATTAAAAATTATTGCCCACCCCAATCTACAGGTTGGATCTCCTTGGCTTCCCCTGGGCCTCCCAGACCCCCACTCCCTCCTGCACCCCCGTCCTCTATTGCAAGCTCCCTTCTACACCCCACCTATTGTCCCAGACCCCACACCCACTCCACAGAAGTGCAGCCCTTGACCACTTACCAAAATTTTGGAGTGGCCCCCCCATTAAAAATTATTGCCCACCCCAATCTACAGGTTGGATCTCCTTGGCCTGGCACCCTTATGGCCTGACCAGTCTCAGATGAGGGATTTTGCGGGATCAGGGGAGGTCATATCTGGCCCCCCTGCTACTGCCCCCTCCAGCCCTGGACTGGCCACCGTCTTCCCCCTACCCTCCCTCCCCACCCTTCCCTGCTAAGCCAGGCAGCCACACTAGGATGTGCTGGGCTCCTGGTCCAACTGGGCAGCCCAGCTGCTGCATTCCCAGCTCCTGGCCCCCTACCCCAGCCTGGGGAAGGGCCAGAACAACCCCCCTCTCCCCCATGCCCCGCCTTTCTCTCCCCCTGCTCCACACCAACCAATGCAGCTCAAGGGGACTACTGGTCCCACAGGCAGCACTGCAAGCCGCAGGTGTGTGTGTGGACCCCAGGGAGGGCCAGGCCATGTGTGCAGGTGTGTGTCTGGACCCCAGGGAGGGCCAGGCGTGTGCCCAGGTGTGTGTGCGGACCCCAGGGAGGGCCAGGCCGTGTGCCCAGATGTGTGTGCGGACCCCAGGGAGGGCCAGGCCGTGTGTCCAGGTGTGTGTGCGGACCCCAGGGAGGGCCAGGCCGTGTGCCCAGATGTGTGTGCGGACCCCAGGGAGGGCCAGGCCGTGTGTCCAGGTGTGTGTGCGGACCCCAGGGAGGGCCAGGCCGTGTGCCCAGGTGTGTGTGCGGACCCCAGGGAGGGCCAGGCCGTGTGCCCAGGTGTGTGTGCGGACCCCAGGGAGGGCCAGGCCGTGTGCCCAGGTGTGTGTGCGGACCCCAGGGAGGGCCAGGCCGTGTGCCCAGGTGTGTGTGCGGACCCCAGGGAGGGCCAGGCCGTGTGCCCAGGTGTGTGTGCGGACCCCAGGGAGGGCCAGGCCGTGTGCCCAGGTGTGTGTGCGGACCCCAGGGAGGGCCAGGCCGTGTGCCCAGGTGTGTGTGCGGACCCCAGGGAGGGCCAGGCCGTGTGCCCAGGTGTGTGTGCGGACCCCAGGGAGGGCCAGGCCGTGTGCCCAGGTGTGTGTGCGGACCCCAGGGAGGGCCAGGCCGTGTGCCCAGGTGTGTGTGTGGACCCCAGGGAGGGCCAGGCCGCGTGCCCAGGTGTGTGCGCAGACCCCAGGGAGGGCCAGTCGGCGTGCCCAGGG